CTTAAAAAAATCTCTGTATGGTGAGATGGCTTCTCATTGTTTTTAATATAAATCAGGCAAACTGTACATTGTAATGTACAGACACCTTGCATCATTGTTCTCAGCCACAAAAACACAACTTCATTAGCCCAGATTTTGAATGGTGCATCTGGAGCTTTCTATCTTTTCTTAATTATGTGAATTACGGTTCTAAATTATAATGAGACAATAATATGGAAAAGACAAAGGCAAACGTTTAATACAGTATGATATGATAGAAGGTCGTATAGAAATCATTACATGGATGGAACATGTTCTGCTGTACACACACCATATGCACAAATAAACACCTAGGAAACACACACCTTTTACTGTTTCCTACATTCTTCTGAAGACTCGCGCCTTCATCTCTCTCAGTAACGCATCGAATTGAATTCCTCACCTTTTAGCCCTCGCCATGACTTACTTTTTCACCCCCCTAAAAAAAAAAAACAGTGGCAGCTGTGGGAAACGGAACGTCTATCAGAATCCGACTCGACACAAACTTAAACTTCTCTCACGAATGACTTGAGTAAAACCTTCGGGAGAGGCAGTGGTTTCTCTTACCTGGCCCAATTCGCGGAGGCTCGGAGGACGCGCGGTGACAGCTGGAGTTGAGTGGAGAGTGATGTTGAACTGGATGACTGACTGCTGACTGACGGACTGTACGCTTCACACGCTTTATCATAAACGCCCTGCGCGCACAGTCGGACCCAGATTTCCTCGTGAACTGCCGCTTCCTCTCTCTTAAAAAAAACAACAACCAAAAAGCAAACGTCAAACGTTCTCGCCAGACGAAGGCGGCAGTGCGCTTTGCTCTGTAGTATTTCCAGTTGAAGAAAGAGGTAATGAAATCTTATAAAAATTACTCAGGATACTTCGACATGTCCCGAAGCCGTATGTCTCCCTCATCTGGCCGCTGGTGTGTAAGTGTAACAGACTGGCACCGTGCGTAAAATGTGCACTGCCGTCCTCAGGACCCCCAGACCTCGTCAATCCCTCTCCTGAGATGCGTGCGTTTGGAAGTATTATGTGGTATTAAGCATGTCAAATGTGCTAAGATGATTACCTGCAAGAGTAGTACTTTTACATTCTTTGAAAACTTGTGTGGAAGCATGATGGATTCGCCTGTAACGTTGGCATGATCTTTAAACTCCCCCTCTCTATAGACAGAAATATGCATAATTTTACACAGACTGATCCTTCTATGTGCTGTGTTCACCCCTTAGTTTTCTTGCTTTATGGACTGAACTGTTTGTTGGCATATTGTCTAAGGGAAGAATGATGACTAAACATCAGTGATTCAGCATTTTAGTTGGTAAATGGCTCTATTAAGGAAGCTTAATTGGATGCTTGTAACATCTTTTGCATTTTCTTCCATCCTCCTGACCTTCACTGAAGACTTTCCTCAAAGAAAGTGAGGAAGACTTTCCTCACTTCAAATAAGTGAATGCATTCCAAACACATTCCTCTCAGAGAAATTCTTAGACATAACCAGACATCTTTTAATAAAGAAAATAACATAAAATACACCAATACAGCAACAGGTCCTTGGTGTTAATGTTGTGGTGTAGATTTGCTATAGTTTACGTTCAAAATATTGGAGCAGGTGTTTATTTACTGCTGCTTTATTCTTTATTCTGTCGTGTGGTTTTCTGTATTGGAAGTTGAAGCACTTGAAGGTTTTTAGAGTTTTTCAGCAGTCCACCTATTTTCAAAGGTATGATATGATCATTTAAGTTGCAGCTATGGTTATTTCATTATTTTTATGGTCAGAAAATAGTGAGAAAAAGTCCATCACAAGTTTCCAAGAGTCCAACATCATGTCTTCAGATTCCTTTTTTGTGTACTATAACGTAAGAGAAATAAAGGCAGCAAATCCTCACATTTGAGAAGCTGAAACCAGACCATGTTTGACATGTTTGCTTGAAAAATTACTTAAAATAATAGTTAATTGCCAAAAACAATTATGTTTAATATAGATGTCCAAACAGTTGCTTTTGTATGAATATTGAGTTTTAATTTTCCCAAAGATACATAAAAACAAATCAAAGTGGTATTTTCAATTAGTTTGAGGGGAACTGTCTCTGAGTTACTTTGAGGCAGGAAACAAGCGATGATCAAAGTGTCATGAAACTGTAGAGCTGTGAAATCAGTGTGGATCACCTGAACATTTGTTTCTCCCCTGTGATTTTCACCTGAGGTTCATTAGTGGAATAAACGAGGAACGAAAAAGCAGTTCCCCTTATAGACTGTGAGTGTAAATGATGTAGGTACGAGACTTTGTGACTCCGTCTTTAACATCGTATGTTCAAGTAGCAGTGAAGCAGATATACTGGCTGCTGTTTAATCCATTCCTCTGACATTTGGAGCTAAGTGCAACTCTTTCTCTCCCCCTCTCAGGCCCGAGCACCTGTCTGGAAAACAATACCTGCTTGAAACCTTCATCACACAACTCTTAAAATCCCTCTTAATCCCTGAAATGTAGATCTCGAATGTGTTCCAGCCCATTACATAGTTTGCATGCTAGATTTCTTTGTAATGTAGTTCTACTATGTTCCAGCATATACCTTCACAGCTTAACCTACATAAATCCATTGATCTGTGTCTCACCAACACAACGCTAGCATGTTAAGCATTGCCTAATCTGTCTCATGCTACCTGGATTTTCATATTGGAGAAATAATCCTGATGAAGGGGAGGGGAGGTGCGGGGGGCAGAGTCACCTCAGGACCTGTTTAAAAGCTTCTTATCAGAGACCTGCACTCCCACCATTTAACTAAAAGGGGAGTGATAGCCTTTCAACTCACAAGCCGCAGCTTTAATTAAAGCTGCTTGTGGGGGAGATGAAGTACAGGGTTGTGTATGAGTTGCCCCACTAAAAATCTAAACTACATCAAACAATACAGCTCAGTCCAAAGCGATGGTCTTTTCAAGTTCCATGTTAAAGAAAAAACAAATCTATTTCCCTGGTTCTAAACATATTAATCTGGGCTCATTGCAACTCCAAACATTCACAGGCCACAGAGCAAATGGTCAGTGGCCAGAAAAAAAAAAAAGTTCAACTATAAATGTTTAAATTAAAACCTTCCGAATCAACTCTGAGGGAATAAAAAAAAATGTAGATCTTCCTTAATAGTGAATTAGTGTTTTCTATCTATTTAGATTCAATACAATCATCGTAATAAAAATACTAATACCAGAAAGTAATAAACAACAATGAACAATCACATTTACACAATGACTGTAGTTAGGTACAATTTTGACTTGTACTTTCTATTTCTGCTACATTCTACTTCTACTCAAATACATAGTACTTTTGATTGCACTAGTTATTTGACAGATAGTTACTTTCAGAGTAAGGCTTTACATGAAAAAATACACAAGGAAGGTTCTAAAATAGACAATATTGTCAAAGATTAACGGATCAGATGTCTATGAGTTGTTAGCATTTCCACTAATTTAATCTTATTTTGTTTGATGTGCAAAGATGTAAAATGGTGTAAAACAAAAAGCGATTAGTAAAGAGCCCTACTGTGTTGGGAACCACTGAATTAAACTACTAAACTGTATTTAAAGCATTAAAAGTAGCTCCACTTTGACCTGCTACAACAGTTAAATGTCTCTATTCAACAAAAGAAATTACATTAGGTCAGGCAAGTAAACAACGCAATAGAGGAGAGCTGATAACAACCAAAAGTAGTATATAAATATTAAAAATGAAGGGAAGAAAACAAAATAATTCAATTAAAAACTCAAAAATTGAATAATTATAATAATAATAATACAAAACATAAAAACCTTGAAATAAATCAGTAGGGACGGACATTAGAAAAGAAAGCAATTCATTTGATTTCAAGGACCTGTTGCTTTTTTTATTGTTTAGAACAAGAGAGGTAAATTCAATCAAATAAAGAGGGAAAGAGGATTGTAAACCGAAAAACTTCTGTTTATGAATAAAGAATTTTCCCTGTAAAACAAAAAATTAAAACAACATAGGTTTGATACTCATATTCTAATAAAATAACCTAGTATATGTGTTTAAGATAAAAACAGTGGGTAAAATAATGGCATTCAAAACGTAAGAATTTAGTTATTTTACACTGAGAGAGAATAATGTTCCATCAGCATGTCCACAAAAAGAACAGGAGTCATCAACATCGACATATGTGGAGATAATAAAATTCACTGCACAGCTTTCATGTAAAAAATTGAAATGAACTTTAACTTTGTTAGGAATTCAAGATTTATTAGGTAAAGGACATTTCTCCCAGTTTATTTCTTCCAAATGTGAGTTCAGCAGAGCTCTAATTTTTAAACGTTCCCCCTCAGTCAGTGATGTAATGGCATTTCCCAAATCATACAGCTGTTTTATATTCTATGCTCTTTTCACTGATGGCAACCATGAACTGCAGACTTCAACCTCTAAATCAGACTTTCGTCTCGTCCTCCTAAGTTAAATTTGGTTTTTGAATCCACGCTAAACTTGATTTGTTGTCAGAGTGGTTGTCTCAGACATTCCCTCCCTGTCTCATTTGGGCTGCAGTCTAATCGTACTTTCACTAACTGGAAAAGGCATTTTGTTTTCAGCTTGCTTTACAGGTTTGAGGAAATGTTATGCCTTAGAAATGTTGGCTGCTATGAGCAGAGATGGTGCTTTACTTACTTAGCTCTTTAAATTTTAATGCACAACAGGAAATTCACAAGGAGTAACAATGATTCATAAAAGACCATATTAGCTGAGGCAGTGTCAGATAATAGCAGTCGAAAGACCAAAACAATTTACACGAGGTATCAGAAGCAGAAATGTGCTACTATTATACATCATTACTATGCAGTGTAAACACAATTTGAGAAAATCTGTCCAAGCCAGTTCTAAGATATTCAGATAAAGAACAAAGACCTCTCTGCAGAATATAAATGAAATAGAGATCAATCCAGAAGAAGATATTTTCTTTCAAGGAAGAAATAAGAAACAAGACTTGTAGCCAAAATCGTTTATTTTAGTAGTTTCCATCAATATTCTTTTTTTATCTTTACATAAAGCTTGTCACAAAGGAATACATACATTCATTAGGCAGGTCAAGGGAAGGTAAAATGAGAACTAACAGGCACCTGATTCTGTTTAATGATCAATACCAGGGAAAAGAAGCAAAAGAAGCAAAACAAGGCAACTCATCACAAGTGGCAAAGCCTAGAGTCTTACCTCAACTGGCAATAGCTCGGATCAACAAAAAAGCAGAAGACAGGTAAACATGTGACAGACAGCAAAACAGGCCTCACAGAGAGATAGACAAAAGTGCCATTTATAGTGTAAGGGTAGATAAGCAATAGAGACTGCATTTACCGCTGTTAGGAGCTTGTTAAAAAGCAGTGTTACACACAGGGCTGATTTATTAATATTGCTACTGTGCTTTTTCTCACTAAACAGTCCTACTCAACGACAGAAACCCTGCATGATTAGAAGTGAAAGACGCGTAAAAGAAAGGAGGGGAGAAGATGATCTGCGGTTTGTCCAGTTCATCAGTTGTAGAAAAGAAATAACGGCTTTAAAAAGAAAAAAAAACAACAACCAAGAAGTTATTGTGAAATATGGAATCTGCTCGTGAACAGTCACTTCTGCTGCAACCTGGCAGCTTTAAACTTCGACACCCTTTTTGGGGCTTGCTGGGGCGGGGGGGCGTCAGGCGCCACCTCCTCCTGTTTCCTCTCCAGTATGGTCGGCAGAGCTGGTGGAGCGATGGTCAGATGGGGGACAGCTGAAGGCATTGGATCCTTTTCTACCACTGTACCTGAAAAAGCCTGCAGGAGAGAGGGAGGGAGGGAAGGAGGAAGAGGGAGAGGGAGAGGGAGAAATAATAATGGTAAAGACTGTGGTGTTAACTTGGTATTCCATCACTTTCACCTCACTCACTGAAGGTTGAGGCTGACAAGAGTTTATACTGTTTTAAATTTATGTTTTCTTGTTCATATTGCCTCTTGTGACTGGCATTTTTATAATTGTTCAACCACATGCAGCTCACATTTTAACTTAAAGAGGCTTCTGTGGGAGTTTTGTTTTGTTCTCATTAAGGGATCTAAGGCTCAAAGATGTAATTTTAATAAGACTTTTCATAATATACAGTAGCTATAGTGCAGATTCCTTCACAATGTAATTGAGATTAAAGATTCTACAAAGAAACTTGACTGAGATCTGTTCACTCAAGAAAGAAAAAAAAAACAGTAAATGAAATGAAAACAGGGACTAAAAGTCAACAATATGTTGTTTACTTCAAATCGGCTAGCGGGGTGCAGTGGGACCGCTGTGGGACTGTCCTCCTCTGTAATGCCGTCACTGGTGTCGCTGTGCGTCGCCTCATCGTGGCTGAAGCTGCGGCCCATCATCCGGCGCTCTTCGAAATCTGCTGCGCTGCTTTCGCTTGTGTCGCTGCACACGCTATTCTCTCGGCTGCGTGACTTCAGGATTGACTTCCTGGGAATGGGTTCCCCGTTCTTCACGTCCACAAACAACCTGACAAAAACAACAGAACTCATGACTGTTTGTTGTTTTCTTGGGGGGAGGGGTTGGGATTTTTCCTAATTTAGTCTTTACGGCATTCATAACTTGGATAATTCAATAAATTTGGTTCAAGACATCTGCTTTTACCTATAAATGTCTGCTGGTGTTGTGATTTTGTGAAGTTCGTGATGGGAGTGTCCGTTATTATGGCCGTTCTTCTTTTTCCTCTTTGAGTGTTCCTTCTGCTCTTTTCTTTCACTGAACTTCAACGTGGTGTTTTTTCCTGTGTTTATCCTCACCTGAAGCAAAGTGCCGAAACAGGGTAATGAGAAAGTTGCCAAAACACTGCAGAATTAAAAGAAAGGAGAAGATACTTTTCAACAAATCTATAAAATGTTAATTATCCCTCTGACCTTCTTGGGTTCGACTGTGTGAGAGAAAAAGATGGTAGGCAAACAGCTGCCTTCCTCTTCCTCGTCGTATTCTTCCTCATTCCTGTCTACACTGGGTGGCGCTTTACTGTGAGGCAAGGAGGTCCAGCTGGGCTTCAGACTCAGTCCGTTTACCGGAGGTGCAGCGTCTCCCTCCTTCTCCTCTTCTGAGGAAAAGGATGACGTGTCCTCACCGTTCATGTCTGCATTGTCAGATAATCTGGAGACAAACGTTTTATTTTAGGTAACAAAGTGTGCTATTATTAAAGCTGATAAGAAAACACCTTGAGCGTGTTAATCTACCTGTACTGTTCATCTTGCAGCTCCTCGAGTTTCTCAAGTTCATCCAATCGAGCCCACAACTCCTCCTCAGTCACGACGCCTTTTGTGCTCCCTCCATCTCTGCCCTTTCCTTCGTCCTCCTCATCCTCCTCTTTCAGATCCAACACGGCATCCAACTTGGGTTTAGAATTTGGTTTGTGAGCTATTCTTGGCTTTCCTGTTAAAGCAGACAAGATGGGAAAGAAATTATCCTAAATGTCACTTTGAGTTTGGCGTAGAATTAAAGAATAGGTGAAAGGCTTTCTTTGCTTCCTCATAAGCCAAGATGTACGAGTAAAATGAGGGCAGAAGAAAGGATGAAAAAGATACCTTTGGCGACAACAGTATCATTGTTTTCGGCTTCTTCTCTTATGTCAACATAGTCCCCTTTAGTCTAAAGAAGAAACAAAGTCAATACATTTGTCCCCATTCATATCTTGTGCAATATCTCATCTGTGAGGATGACTTCTAGTGATGCAACGTACGGTTGACATGGTTTCCAAATTCTTCACAAACCCAACTCTGTCTTCAAAGTTTTTCATAGTCTTGTTGAGATCATCTAGTTCGCTCTTCACATCTGCAGAAAACAGCCGCATTATCATCAAAATGTGCATCAGAGGGTTGGAGGCAGATTGACAAAACCACAGTGTGCAAAGCCTGGCTGCAGGCTAACAGAGATTTAAACAGAACGCTGAATATAACAATGACAACCAGCTGCTAAAGAGTTAAAAAAGACTGAACAAGTTGGGGGGAAAAAATTGAAAAATGATGACACAAACAGTTCATAATATCTTCTGCCCTGAATACTACTCCGGATCATTAAATCTTGACAACAATTAAGCCCTTTTACTAATAGCAGCAGAGGGCCCTTGTTTCCATGGCGATCGGGAGCCCCTCCAGTCAGTGCATCAACTGGAAGTGAAGAAAGGTCAAACACAGAAGGCCTGACAACTCAGCCGCTGTCTGACACATTTCAGCTAGCTATGTTTGTATTACAGCACTTAGCTCTGTAATAGCGGGGTGGGCAGGGTCAGGAGATAGGAGGAGGAGGAGCGAGGGGGGCAGACGGCTGCGGATGGGCTATGGCAGCACATTTCTGCTTCACTAAACACTCTAATAATGTTCACATCAGAGATCGTTACTTGGGCCCATTTGACTCGATATGAGATTTTCAGACCTAAAATGAGCAGCAGGGCAAACACAGTTTGTATGTCTACACATAACCCATGTTAGAATAAACACATTTTGTTTTCTTCTTGCACTCGATCAAACAATAATGTTGCATTTACAGGACTTGATTTGACCACAGGAGAGGAAAAGGTGTAAATTGCCGTCACAAGATTTACAACAGGCAGTGACAACAGTGACCTGTAACATATGAATCCAGGAGCGGCACAGCAAATGAGTGCTGCAAATGTGCCCTGCAGCTTGCAACGATTTAACCACATGTGAAATAAAGTACCGTGCATGTGTCAAAAAATCATGCATGCACCAACAGTTTAATACAGTTATTAGAAAAAGCATCACAGTTGACATCCCATATTCCTAAAATAGACTCAATTCTACAATTCTACAATATCAGAAGTTTCTCCTAAAATCTTAAAATGACAATTCATCTAAAAGGAAGTTAGTCACTTCAATGATTCTTCAGTGTTCAGACAAGCTGAAGCTTGATGCAGCAACACCCTCTGCTGGATGAAGAGGAGCAGTGCTGAATGGTCACATTAAAATGACAAAATGCTGTCTTTTTGAGAGAGGACAGGAAACAGACTCACATTTCATCCTGTGGTTGACCAGTTTCTGAGCCTGCTTGGCAGAGCACTTAGCGAACCAGTTGTCACCGAGCAACGCTGTGACCTCGTTGGTGTGCACCAGCTTCCCTGGCATGAAAGCCAAAGGGCCAAACGGCACCTGGTTATAGTGGAAGGAAAAAAAGAGCAGAACAAAAGAGAAATGGTTGAAATAAAGCAGGTGGCAGAATGTTGACATGAAAGCAGGAGAAAGAAGAAATAAAACTTTCAGTGGCAGTAGAAATTTTTTTTATTTTTATTTATATATATTTAGGGTTAGCATCTGCAAAGTTAAGAATATCAACCCAGGTAAAGAGACCGGTAAATGAGGAATTGATTGCATTGGGAATTGAGCTTAAAATTAACCCACAATGCACAGGTTTGTGACGGTGTGTATGTTTGGTCTTTCCTGTGTATTTTAAACAAGGTTTGCACGTACCATAATGTCATAACACAGTTGGTCTGGAAGAGTTTGAAGGCGCTCATTCAGGGCTTCATAGTCACCTGACACCTTCTTCCTGCAAATGCATGGATTTACAAATATTAGGCCAACAAATACATTTTTCACTTAAGCCAAAGCTCTCTTCTGAAGCCATTGTTGTCCAAATTGGTTTGTTTGGCTTATTTCGGGATGTTAAACAGAACAATGGGAAGCAAATGACAGCTATGGAGTAATGAGGAAATGCCTGTTCCTGTCCCTTTCAGGAGAGAATGGAGACTTGGTGTAACCCAATAACCCTGTTATTCATTTGTATCCATTTCTCACTGGGCAATTTTTTATTGCTTTGAAATTTCCTACTTTCATCAGAGAAACTGACAACACCAGGCTGTATAGTTTTTAAAAACATATCTAGGAAGGTCTGCCAATGTAAGTAGCAACATAAAGCATTGTGCTGCCAAAAGCCCTTATTATTAGCTTTATCTCATATCGTTTCCTCACTGGTTGCTCTGTTGTGATCTGCTGGAATAGTCTAGTCACATCAAATAACTGAAGGACCAGTGAGTAGGAGTTAGTGGCATCTACTGGTGTATCTGTAGATTGCAACTCATTCGCTTCACCCTCAACAGCAATCTAGGGCAGGGGTGTCAAACTGATCCGTGAAAGGGCCGGTGGGGCTGCAGGTTTGCATTCCAACCATGCAGCAGCACACCTGACTTGGTTCATTCAATCAACTGAACTGTCTTCACAGTCAAAAACTTGCAGCCACACCCACGCTTTAACCAAGGGTGGCTGTTTCTGTTCCAATCAAGCAAGAGGACACCTGAAATGACTGTGTGAAGACAGTTCATGAATGAAAACCTGCAGCCACACCGGCCCTTTCATGGATCAGTTTGACACCCCTGATCTAGGGTGTCTGCAAAAGGTCTGGCCCAGTCTGAAGCTAGTGTTTGGTTTGTCTGTTCTGGGTGACTGTAAAATAATGAAACTTTTAGAAGATTTTTGACTTAAAGTCTCCACTCAATTACTTTATTTTGCTTATTAAGTCCTCTGTTTAGATTGAAGGGGGGCCGAACTGTGTAGGGAATTACGTGAGGTCACTGGATTCAATGTAGCAGTAAGAAGCACAAAAGTGTGATTTGTCCTGTACGAACAGGCCCAACAAAACTAACAGCAGAGTCAGAGAGATGTCAAGCACAGTCTGTACTTGCTCACAGTCCTGAGAAGAGCTCTAATCAGGCAATAAGTGGAATCACCTGTGTGGGTGTACTATGGTTGGGTAAAGCCTTACAAGATTTATCATAGGGTTGCTCAATTATGATTATAATGGAACTGTTTTGCTCAATATTGAGGCATTTTTCAGTTATCTCTAAAGAAGTGTTTATTGTCCTTAAACTGGCACACTTGATATTTAATACAAATAACTTTAATCCAATCTGCTGCTGTACTACCAACTGTATTTGTAATCAACACTAATAAGAATACTGACGGTAACCCACTGCTTGCAATCAATGAAAATGAATTTACTGTAAAGGCTACGCCGCCATGCTGCATGCACACAGGTGTTTCCACTTTATCTGCCTGATTAGTAATCTTGTCAGGACTGTGTGTGTGTGTGTGTGTGTCTCTCTCTGTACACACTGTGCTTGATTGACATCTCCTTCACTCACCTGTTAGCTTTGTTGCATCTGCTTGGCTGGGACAACTAACAACTTCATCATTCAAACAGCTCTTTTTCAAGGAAGACATTTAAACATGTCACAGCAGGAAAAGCACAGGTGTAAATAATAGTTCATGATGGTGGAATTACATTCAGTTGCAGGGTCCTGATATAGTGCATACTGCTTCAATGTGGCACTAACTCAGCCTACTGGGGCCCTTTGACTAGAGCAAAGCCATCATTAATGTTGAGCAATGCCTGTGCTTTTTCCTACTATGAGATGTCAAAATGTCTGTTATGGTAAAAGGACTGTTAGTAAACTGAGTTTGCAACTCCCACCATTGCTCTGCACCGAATTCAACCTGAGCATGAATGGAGTACAATTTTACTGAAGAACAAAGGTGGAAGATTGTCTAATGAACTGCCGGATGGGCCTAAGACAATCAGAATAACTAAAAGCCACTGTGTGGGTGTGCAGGGGCCTATAATGTTTCCAGTGCACTGAAAATACTCCCTTCTTGCTACAGCAACTGTGTTTGGGGATCAGAAATAAACCGGCTAATTATGACATACTTGAAACAAATGCCCCTGATTGGTCAGGGAGTGTCTAATTTGCTGATTTTGACCAGAGCCAGCACTCTAAACGCAAAGCATCAATACTGCACAGAATCGTGCTTGATTAATTGTGGAAGCCAAAATCATGGTGGTTATTATAAAATAAATAATGCAGATCTAACATGGGGCTATAACAACTATGTCTTCCACTTAACACAGGCTGAAAGAAATGAAAGAAGCTACATTTCTGGATATAATATCCCTTTAATCTAATTTTCAAACTGGTTGTATTCATAGAAGCGAATCATGTGGAGACAAGCAAGTGAAGAGCCAGAAAAATCTTGGCGGAGAGTTGTGCAGAACAGGACTTGCCTTTAACGTTTACAATGTAAATATGAGTAATACTGAGCTTTTGAGTGCCTTTTTATCACAGATATACGTGGAAACAAGGAAAAGGCTGTGATATGTGCTGTCACACAAAGCGGTCAATACAGGTTTGCAAGAATGTTTGATATATGTGCTCAAAAGGAAACAGGAAACTAAAAAAATCACTTTCCAATGGCTGAAATAGTGGATGGGACTTTCTTAATGCTTACCAGTGCTGAATCCGACTTTCACAGTCTTTCACCACCTGTTATTTAGGACAAATTATTTCAAATATGAATCACGTTGAAAATCTGCACAACTTACAGTCTGGTGTCAAAGATTTAATAGAATAAAAAGGAGTTATGGTAAAAAAGGCAAATGTGATTATTGTCACATTTTCTGTTCAGTGCATTTATTTCACTGGTACTGCCAAAACTACTATGCAAAAGACACACACTGTTAAAGTTAAAGAATCACCACACACACACACACACACACACAGAAACAGACAGAATACCCAACCAGATCAAAGGAGGAGGAGAGGAAGACAAACACAGCTGTCAAAGCTAAATCTGGTGAGGATATCTGCACAAACAGGCCTTCACTGTGATATATGGTGGGACATACAGTTCATGTGAACAATTATTGTTTGTTGCAGTCTGCACGAAGCCCCGCACACAACAATTAGAAATACTAACATCATTTAAATAACAAATCATCTGCACACCTGTATGTCAAACACACACAGGTGTGCAGATAATACGAATATTATGAGGATAGAAGTGGAGGAAAGAGGATGTGCTACTTTCTCAACGTGAACCAACACAGGTTACACAGACAGAGCAGTAAAAACCTATTGTTGTTGTATTATCTGGGACTTCCCGGCTCACTATCTGTGTGGGGGTGGGGCGCTGACAGGGAATACTAGCACACCAGCTGCACTCACCTACCGTTAACTAGGTTGGTCGACAACTCATAAATACGTTAAGAGTCAGTTTCCCCCCCAAAAAAACTCTGGAGGCCTAAAAAAAAACAACCCTGCAAGCCTACAATTTTAAAAAGTAGCAGAGTGAGCAAATGAAGTGCGAGGAAACGAAACTAAACACGCCTCCAAAGCAATACGAGAACTTGAACATGTGAGTGGCTGCAAGGGAAGGAAGCTTCTGGAAAACGGGACAGGCAGAACAAACTTACTAAATGAGGCATAGGGGTTAGTACAATAAGTGCACACACGTGTTATATACGATGCAAATAGAAAACACTCCAGTAGATCCACTCGTGGGTTTTAAAGACCCACACCGCGTGGCCAGTAGCTGACTTTGGGTTTTTTTTTTTTTGGTGGGGGGGCTAACGTTTAGACATTAGTTACAAGCCAGCGAAATGTTTGGTGTCAACTGGTTAAAATTACCTTCTGGTGTTCCTCTCGGAGCCTGACAACTCCGCCGAGATGATCTATATTCATTTTACCTTTTTCAGCCATTGTCAAACCACGTGCACAACAGGAATCTGTGGTGTTTTTGTGACACCCCCCCTCCCCCTTTACCCACAAAAGAAAAACCCCTCCAAGCTCAGGGGTTGTTGTGAGTCCTAAAGAAGTGTTTATGAATGCAGCAGCAGTTATTCCAGAGAGCCGTTCTGCTCGTCTTCATCAATGAGGCAGTGGTAGTTATCCTCACTTTCGGTAGTGATACCATTTCACACTCTCATTTCAAGATTTCTGCATGATTTTCCAAAAAATATCCACGGGTTTTTTTCAATATTCCCCAAGATTAGCAGGTATTCCTGGGCACTCTCGCTGCGACAGGCACCTCGGTCCGACGTCGAGACAGCACGCGTAACGACGGAACTTCCGGTCAAAATATTCAAAATAATAGCGAGGTCGCTTTTTAGTTTAATGAAATGCTGCCACTAAATCAGAATCAGAATTGTTTATTGCCAAGTAGGTTTTTTTTTTTTTTTTTTTTTTTTTTTAACACCTACGAGGAATGTGTCTTGGTGCATTGGTGCATAAAATATACAAATCACACAAAAATCACGCAGAAAAATAAAGTACTTTTAAAATATAATTAAATAAAGCTAAGAAAGAACGAATAAAATAATTATAAACCTGTAAATAAATAGGTAAATGGCAAAAATAAATAAATAAGACACTGTAAAAAGATTCAATTACAAGTAATTACAGTTACACTCACTGTGCAATTAATAATATACTGTGCAATTAATAATCTACTCATACATACCTGGACACTCTTCTTCTTTTTTTGTGCAATAACTTAATCCACTAAGTGCAATAATTTAACTTAACTGCTAATGTCATTTATCCACTGTATAATAACACCATGCCATATATAGTCCTTTATATTTATCTTTATTTATCTATATTTATCCTCTATACAGTTCTGTACATTTATCTTATTTGATTTTATTTTCCATGAATTTTATTTTACTTTTATTCTTATCTCTACTTTCTATATTTAGCTAAGAGTTTATTGTCTGGCTTATACTGTATTGTTTTATACCTCTTTTATTTTCTATACAAGTGTTTTGTAAGCTGCTGGAAATCCAGTTTCCTTGAGGGAGTCATCCCAAAGGGATCAATAAAGAGAAGTCTAAGTCTAAGTCTAAAACTTTTTGGTATTCAAAAAGTTTAAAAGCATGGCCGGATAAATCTGTTTAGGGGCTTTTGGGACCCCTAGTGGTTGGCAGCTTTACCAGATTGACAATCACTATTTGAGTTAAAGTACGCAAGTATTGTCAGCAAAAATACAGCAAATGTCAACAATACAAATATTCATAAGAGAGACTGGTCTGTGTAAAATGGTCAGTGTTATTAATATAATTGTACTGTTGCAAACCATTCTTATTATTCACGCCTTAATTACTGTGTAAGCAGCAATTTTGTAGTTGTAAATGTGTAATCAATTTAAATTATAATTATACTATTATTTGATAGTCAATGTGTTTTATAAACTGATACATTGTTAATAACCAGGCAGCATAACCTGTACGACTGTTATTTAATGTAGTGGTGTAAAAAAATACACTATTTCAAACTGAAATGTAGAAGTGTAGAAGTATAAAGTAGCGTAAGATGAAAACATTTAAACAAAGTCTATTTCTCTTTGTTTACTAAAATACTTTTATTTTGAAGACAGAACATTGTAGTTTCCGTATTTCCGGCGTATGAAGGCCAGCTTGACGCAGCTGCCTATGGCTGTTCCTCTGTGTCGCCCGGTGTACTCTGGGTAACTGTGGACGATTGCTCAAATGTAAACAACAGACACACTGTATCGAGGTTAAACCCCGCTGCACCGACCAACACACAGGCCATTATCAGAGATTGATCTGTTAGAAAAGTAGCCATAGGTTTCCTCCCCATGTGACACTGTCGACCTGCCTGTGGCTGCACAACCATCGCAGTCACATAGATCACACATCTGTTCATATGATAACCCACACGGCTATACACATTCACTTAGATAGGGTGGTTGTGGTGAACAAGTTTGGTTTCATTAAATGAATATAACCCATCCATGGTTCCAGCCCCCCTTGTTGTTACACGCTCATTGGCTGCTTTGGTTGCTTTTACTTGCGGTCGGAAATGTCACACTCAGAAGTAACTCGCTTTACTGGTCAGGTATGTGTAGCCTACAGTTGTCCTACAAGGAATTTGACCCAGTTTGTATTGCTCTTATTACTTTAAAACGTTAAAACACGTTAACGGTTCATCAGAGTGATGGCTTTGGGAAGAAGCTGGTGTTAGGAAATTCGGGATTCGTTGGAAGTCCCTGAACGCAGCAGGTTTACAGCTACCATCGGGCATTGCGGCCATAGTCATGCAAGCTCAGAAATCAGGAGTTACCGGCTGAATCAGAACCTATTTGTCATCATAATAACATTATAAAAAGAATAACAAATATTGATGCGGATTTGATAACACAACAACAAACAGGTATGTCCAATAACGTCTCATATGTGGTCGCTAATATTTTGTGGAAAGGGTGAGCTGTAGATAACACACTGTGTAACGTCAGAATATTATTATACTTTCTGATGCAATCAGGTCTGTTGCACTTTGACACTGCTGCGTGTAATTATGTGCCATAATAGTCAATATATGTTTAGTGTTTTAAATTTTAATGTGTTTTTCAGAGACTGGTGTGATTTTTTTTTTATTTCTAAATGTGTGAATAGCTACCAAAATAATTTATATATTATTTAAACTATTTTTAGGACAGTGTTTTCCTGATTTCCTATTCTCTGGTTGTTGGTAGATTGTTAAATTGCTTGTAGTTACCATTGTCTGCATTGTCTCCTAAACATTTAAATCTGATCCACAGTATGTGTCATCGAGTTGATGATGTCATGAAGCTGTGTTGTGAGCTATCTGCCAATCAGCAAATCCAGACCACAGTGAAAGGGTCAGGCAAGGGAGCAGCAGCAGCTGGGGGACTGGCCTTCGCTGGAGGGTTGGTCGGGGGTCCTCTTGGCATTGCAGTCGGTAAGCAGAAAAATGTAACATAAAAATGAGTACAATCTGTCACTACTGGTTTACTGAACCTCAAACCTCAAATGCTTTATTGTCAACATATACTGGTCTGTAGGAGAAATCGCTGTTGTAAGATTTAACAAGTTTGAAACCCTCCTCCCCTGTAGGCGGTGCTGTCGGAGGCCTTCTGGGCTGCTGGCTGACCAGCGGACAATTCAAACCTCTGCCTCAGATCATAATGGAGCTCAGTCCTCAGCAGCAGCAGAAGCTTTATGGTGATCTTATGGCCATCCTGGGAGACATTCAGTGGACAGATTTGGCCCAGCTAACTGCTCTAGTGATGGGCAATGCCACCCTGAAGCAGCAGCTTACAGGCGCTCTACTTGGATATATCACCAAGGAGCTCCAGGCAGAGGTGCACTATGTGGATTAGTGTCTGTTGGGGGGAAAAAACTGGAATAACCTGACTCCGATGCCCACACGCTCAGGAGGATGGAGTCCTTGAGAAGAATGTGAAATGTTTTTTTGAAGCTGGAGAGACTCTTCATCAAATGTGAAACCACATATTGTAAAATGGCTCAGACACCAACACAGTCCTGGTAACAGGTTACACTGGTTAATATAAGGTAGCACATGATTGTGAATCAAGACAGCTGTAAAAATGGAATTGAAAGTGCACAGTTGAAGGAATAATCTATTCTTAATGGAACTGATAATCATGTCTGACTTTTAAAGTTACTCTGAATTAAGGTCTGAGTGAGTGAGCCAGCTACAATGACATACTGTTTTCTTTTCTTCTATTTAAATACAAAGGATTATGTTTTGAATGAGCGCCAACTGTACAGTTTGAAATATTTTAATTTGATGTACATTCTTTAAGTTAAAGAGTAAACATTTACCAGCATCTGTGTACAGCACATTGTATGGCCATTACCCAATTAATTCAAGCTCTTTATTGCTTTAAATGATTTCATCAATAAAAACAAGAACAGTGTGTATTTAAGGTGGCTTTTCTAGATCGTCCTATCATCTGAATCATTCGGTTCCTCAGGTTTTCTAGATCTCTAGACAAAGCAGCTTTATGTAACTGTGAAACAGGCTCTGACTGCAAACAGAAAGCTACTGTCCGACAGCTAATGCTTGCTTTTATTCTGTCTGTACTTTATTTATCCTCAATGGATACATTCTTTTTAAGACGTATTACTCAAAGACTATCTTGTTGTTTATATGTTTATGATTGTGTTTTAGTTTTTGAGGCTCTGAGCAAAGTAGTCCTGTAACCATAATGATTGTACCTCTAGATATCCCGACCTGGCTGTCAAAATCACCATTGGTCTTATATAGTACAAAGCAGAACTCAGGCTAGTGAACCCTTTTTAAAATGTAGTTTCATTCACCTGTTGTGGTTCTGAATTCGTTCTGCATTTTGGCTCCGACTTTCATATTTCTTCTGTTTTTAGCATCTTTTGCACTCAATGTTTGTCTGACATTCGTTCTGTTTTACTTCCTTTTTGTGTGAAGCACTCTGTAGCTTTGGAATTTTTTGTGCTACATAATGTTATTTGCAAAAAGAGGTGTGAAATGAGAGAAATCTATTGAGATAGATAAAGTACTAAGTGCAATTAATCAGACACATCCAGGCCAAAATTCACTTTTAAGGATGAAAAAATGCAATAACTCAATCATGGAGCTGGAAATACTTTTATTAGTAAATACGCATATTATGCTACTCCAAATTCAAATAAAGCCATCTTAAAATACAATATTACAGAGAGGAACTGAGACGGAGCTCCAATTTATCCAACCACGACTGAGTCTTCGTCGGGGAATTCATAGAAGGGAACCTCCAGGTTAAGAGGAGCAGGTCCCTTTCTTATTCTTCCTGAAGCATCATAGTGGGAGCCATGGCAGGGACAGTAGTAGCCTCCGTAATCTCCGGCGTTTGCAATCGGCACACAACCCAGGTGAGTGCACACGCCAAGGACGATGACCCACTTGGGGTTAATCACTCTGTCCTTGTCATGCTCGGGGTCACGCAGCTCCCCCATATTCACAGACTGCTCTGCGGAGATTTCCTTCTCGGTGCGGTGACGGACGAACAGGGGCTTTCCTCTCCACTTGAAGGTCATGTTTTTGCCTTCTGGGATGTCACTGAGCTTGATCTCAATCTTGGACAAGGCCAGGACATCTGCTGACGCGCTCATTGAGGATACAAACTGGGAGACCACTGTCTTGGCTGCGTAGATACCAACCACAGTGGTGGCTCCAGTGACAAGGTAAGAGAATACCCTTCTCCCCTCACTGCTGTCCTGGGAGGACTTGTTGGGGTCGACGACCTCGGGCCGACGGTAGTCTGAAAAGTCAGGAATCTTGATGTCTGTGTGGGCATGGCGGATTCCTCCAGGAGCTGGAAAAGACACACATGATGCAGTTTTTAAACACTAAAGCAGTGAATGGGAAAATAGATGAACTACACAGTAGCTTATACAAACATTTTAAAGTAATGCTGTTGTGTCATTGCTTCACATCAGCAATTGTAACAGTCAATTACCATGTAACAAAATGTGGCAATATTATTTAAGGAGTAATTAATAGTGGATCTAATAACGATCAAAAATACAGACTAAATGATTTTTTATATATATATATACCTAAACAAACAATATACTGTTTAATTAATTATACAAATTAACATACCAAAAAACACATTGGACTGTTTTTCCCCACATACCATCAAGCACATCAGATCAGATCATGGATCAGAACTATCTTTAACTGAGTATTTAACTTATTATTTATAAGGTCACACATTAGGATTAATGTCACAGCAGAAAAACAGGTTGTTGGCAGCAGTAGACAAAGACACATCAACATTACACGTTGTCTAAAATGTTAACTTATCCGTAAGATGTCACTGTCTTAAGTTTTATAGTTACACAACGCAGGTCAACAACAACAACAAACTCCGGGCACCGTTTGCAGGCTGACATCCGCCCTCGACCTTACCTGCGACCGGCACCAGCTCCTTCGTTCCGGGGGACAACAGGCTTTTAGTTGTGTGTTGTGTGGCCCGTAAGTACGGGGAAAGAGCCCCGGTACGAGCGGCTATGGACATCATGTTTGCCCAAAATAAGAAACCTCCACGACCTTGCGTTAGGAAACCTTGCGTGCACTTCTCTGATGTGGTGTACTAGAAACTCGCTCCGCCTTCACAAGGTTCCGCGTTACGTGAGATCGGACCGAAGTGTCACTTTCGTGTTTCTTCTAATATATTGCGTTATTTTTTATAGTTTTACAGTAATTAATTAACATCGTAACCCATTTGTTTTGATTTAGTCTTGACATATGGTAGAAACTACAAATACATTTAAAACAACGGCAGATTTCACACAGGCATTTCTCTAAGTCAGCTGTATCCAGGGGTCCTCGTGATGTAAACAAGGGTCCTTTCACAAAATATGGAGGCGAGCTACACAATGGTAACCTGAGTGTGGGGGAAAAAAAAACAAACAAAAAAACAGAAAAAGAAAAATGAAAATACCTAAAAGAAAACTATTCCTTCTAATTATCTTCGCATATGTGGCATTTTCGCTCTACGCTGCGTACAATGTCTTCTTCAGCACCAAAGTAATCTCCCGCGTTCACAGGGTGGTGAAGAAAGAGACAGGAGCACCCTCCGGTAACGTTTAACACTCCCTTACAGCACACAGGCGGGCTATATCTGCTATTAATCGACAGTTATGAACTCGTTAGAGATACATTAAAATACCCATAAACCGGGTGGACACTGTGTGTGTTGCGCTTGCAGGTGTCAGGGATGGCGGTGCTGCTCCATTTCTAGCAGAGGACTGGAATCCGTGGGAGGACGAACAGGTGGAGTACAACTCTGCTCTGAACAAAAAGAGAGAGGCCTTCAAACAGCGACTGGGTCGAATTGACAAGAACAAACCCCAAAGATACAGGGTCCAAATCTGGGGGAAAGCTGCCATAGGTAAGTCCTGGTATTGTGGGATGTCGTTAATCTGTCACAGGCGCTTGATGGAGATTTGGGAGGAGATTTGGGCGTGAAATGACAATACCGAGACCTTATATATATAGATAAATGATGATAGATAGATATACTTTATTGATCCCAAGCTGGGAAACTCCAGTTGTTTTTTTTTCACGTTGGCATATGGTTGATTCAATTTCAACAATATGCCTTTATAATTGTGCATTTTTTCTGTTTTAATTCAAGTTATTGTCAGGAACTGGGCAATACAATGTAAGAAATAGATACTACAGTCCAAGTGTCATGTATACAAATGAGGAATACATTTGCACATAATGTAAAAAGCTTTATAAATAGCTATAAACTTAAATAAACTGCACTCAGTGTCTTCAAGTCATCTTGAAGAAAAAAGTTCTAGTGCATTTCTGACAGCTCTGGTCTTAAGTACCCCTCCCAGTGTGGCTGTACATTTTTAGCACAAATAGAAAATAAAGATTATGACGGGAACAACTAAAATACTGGTAAATATACATTTAAAAACAATATATATGATTGAAATGTCTTAAGTTAATAATTAAGCTTATTTAATGAATGCATTAGATATAATTGAGAATCTGTATGTTATTATATTACAGTTTGCAGAGGGCAGGGAAATACTTTGGTGAAGAATGTGAACTGTGTTTAGGAAATTGTATTTTACATGTACTTTAAACAATACAATAGCTCGTTCAAGACATAATAATAATGTAATCACTGTTTACAAGCAAGAGTGAAAGTAGAAGGAGTCATGGATTAGTCATATTGGTTTATCTCAGAGTGTAAATAATATAAGGTCAACCAGATTAAAAGAACAAATATCAGAAGAACAAACACCAAATTAAACGTCATCTCATGTTTTGAAGGGTTTTTACTTCTTCCTTATTTTAAGTATAATTGGGGGGGATACAGCAAGATGCTGTTGAGTTAATTTATTATGCTTCCATATTATCTGAATCATCAAATGAATGTGAGGTCCCATTGGCCTCAATACCTGCATTGTTTATAAACCTGGTATCACCAGGAGTGCCCACATACAAAGACTACATAAAACTGATTTATGCTCCGCTGAGGAACCCGACCAATGGTACAACTTGATGGCACTGCACGTGTTGCCATTCTAACTTCGGTGGCAAATTGCATTAAACCTTTGTTTTCTCCTCAGGGCTTTACCTTTGGGAACATATTTTAGAGGGACTACTCAACCCTACTGACAAGGTAGCACAATGGAGAGAGGGAGAGCTGCAGTCAGGAAAGATTGATTTCAGGTAACGAGTCCGAGATGGAATACTCAAACATTGCCAACCCAAGCATATAGTCTGCTACTGCGACTCCCCCACATCATATAATAATAAAACATATTGACTTGTTGTTTTTAGTTTCTACACAGGTCCTGCTGTGGTCCAGGGTCATGTCCCTCTTGATATGAATAGCCTGGTTCTGGTTCTAAATGGTCGCGAGCAGCAGAAGGTCTCTTACTCCACACGGTGGCTGGAACATGTCCAAGCTATGGTACAGTCCCACACAGTGTCACATGTGGCTGTGGTACTGCTGGGCAATGAGCACTGCAACAACGACTGGATCGGCCCATACTTAAAGAGAAACGGCGGCTTTGTCGAGCTGTTGTTTCTAGTGTACGACAGCCCGTGGGTCAACGACAAGGATGTGTTCCAGTGGCCTCTTGGTGTCGCCACGTATGTCTTTTCTTAGTAGTCCTATGTTTGATGTGTGAGTGTGTGAGTGTGTGTGTGTGTGTGTGTGTGTGTGTGTGTGTGTGTGCGTGCATGTGTGTGTATACATAATTAGTGCTCAATATCAGTACATTAAACTATAAGCAAGTCTCTTGAAATGAATAGCATTGTCTTACATGTTGCTCTGTTTTGCTCATCTCTTTGCAGATACAGGCAATTTCCTATGATCAGGCCTAATGCCCAGTTGATAACCTCAAACAGACCATACCTCTGCAATTTTCTAGGAACTGTTTACAAAAATTCCTCCAGAGAAACTCTCATGCAGGTGCTGAAACAATCTGGCCTGGATCAGGAATGCATCACTACTGCCAGGGAGAAGTAAGTCATTATTCAGTTCTTGAATCATTGTTGATATTGATATGGAAGAGTAAAGCTTTTATATTTTGATTTAATGACTGTAGTAGTCATATATTGCATTGTTTTATTGAATAAAAAGAGGATTTTAAAAGACTGATATTGATTGATATCAAGACCCCTCTCATTGAGACCTTCCTATTGTGTCTCCTTTTTAACACAAACAAGAAAATTAAGCAGTAAATTTAAAAAAAACGTCTGCTGTATCAACACAACATTCACCATTGGGTTTTGGTGGTGATGAATTTGTGGTGGCCTGAAGACATCAGAGACATGGTAATGAAATCATTTTCTATATTTTACATGGAAAGTAAACACCATACAGTTCCCCTAAGGCCTTATCGCCCTTAAAATCCTGGAAAAAAACGTTAACATCTGTAAAATGTCTTAAAGCATAGGGACACGTTTCTTTTTAAGTTTATCGTAAAAACTCACATGGACATCATCATGCATCTGTAATCATTCCTCCTGTCCTTAATGGTCCAAGTTAGGGCTTTATCGATTAATTCGAATTCGTAGTTAAACACGATTTATTTTTAGTTAAAATCGTTTTTCTCTTGAACTTCCACAACACCTGCGCTCCCTTTGGGCTCCCGTAGGTCAGAGTGCGCTGACCCCTCCCCCGCCTCTCCACAGATAAACACAACATGGCAGCAAGCCAGGATGAGCTCGCCCCCAAAAAAGGCACAGTGCCATCGGTTGTTTGGAACTGGTTTGGTTTTGTGGTGTCTGACAGCGAACAAACCACGACTCACTGCAAAGTTTGTTTGAAAGCTGTTGCAACCAAAAGGTAGCAGTACGACCAATTTATTCCAGCACCTCAAGCAGAGGCATGCAGCCGAGTGGGAGAAATGTTGCTCTCTGCGAGATATACAGGACCACAGCCCACAAACACCCCCTAAAAAACAGTCTACAAAAAATCAATTAAAATCGTAAATCGGGTTTGGTGTGAAAAAATCTGAGATTTTATTTTTAAGCCACATCGCCCAGCCCTAGTCCAAGTGATTACAAAGTAATTATGTTTCTGCAGTCTGGGTTCAATAAAGTGGGTATCTTCCAAAGCTACAGTCTTTCTAGAGTGAAATTCCTTAATGTTTTCATAGGTTGTTTTTTCTTTACTGGGCTGTAGTGGAGGGATAGTAACACAAAGAACGAATTGTGTACTAATAGGACTGTAACTTTGGAAGATACTCACTTTATTGGATAAGTCAGTCTACGTCCTATCTATTTTAGGCCATTATGCACAAGAGTATTACATTGACCAATAACTCGCATAGATGGGTATGAACTTGTGATTATTGTGTTAAGACACACAAAAATGTGAACCTGTCCTTTAACAACTTTAGGAAACATAAAAACAGCAGCAAATACTAATCAGTAATCGTTCACTATAACAACATGCACTCAAAACTTTAGTTAAATGTAAGCAGTTTGCTAAATATACCCACACATTGTTACATTTTAGGGCTGCTGCTGCTCACACAGAAACCTGTGGTTAAATTTTTTTCTCTGGCCAGGTTTCACTCCTGTATGTGGTACGTACTGTAATATAGTTTGAGAATGTCTCCTGTTAATGATGATGTATATGCAGTTGGCAGTATAGCAATCACAATTGAAGTTTTCCTTAAATTGGTTGGACGTATTAAATTATAAATGGAGTTGAGGTGAGGTATCTGCAACGTGAATTGTCTCTATGGAACAGTATTGGAATACATATATTATATATTACAGCAGCTTAAACAGTTGGCTTAAGTATCCATTCCTCCCTCCTTGCCTCAGGTGGCTCCCTCAGGAGACAGAAGACAGTCTGAGACGCTATCAGACAGCTTTGGCCCAGAGCGAGCTCACTCTCTGCCCTGTGGGGATCAACACAGAGTGCTACCGCATCTACGAGGCCTGCTCTTACGGCTCAGTGCCCGTGGTGGAAGATGTACTGACACCTGGGACCTGTGCGGCCGGGCCCAGCTCCCCCCTACGTCTGCTCAAAGCTGCTGGAGCGCCCTTCATCTTCATCAGTGATTGGAAAGAACTGCCGGCCATCTTGGAGAGGGAGAGAGGAATGAGCCAGGAGCAGAGGGTGGACAGGAGGAGGAGGCTGTTGGAGTGGTACGCCAGCTTCCGTCAGCAGATGAAGGAGAGGTTTACTGAGGTCATCGAGGAGACTTTCATCAAAAACGGCTGACCATGGTGCTTAATTAACAAGCATTTAAAGGATAAACAGGGGTAGTCATTCAATATTAATTTAATTTATTTTGTGGTTTGTGGAGAAATGTCACATACTACTGGTGTAGTGAACCAGATTATGGTCAGTGTAATATTCCTGTGCAGATTATTATGAAACCTTTTTATGTATGTAGTTAAGTGTTAAAGCTGCCATTATGAATTGGTAAAGGGCCCCATGACATTACTGTATATTTATCATCTTAATGTTTACAATGGTGGAATGTCCAGGTGTTTTTAGAAATGATAAACTGCCTTTGCATCCTAAAGTCCTCATATTATTTCAACTGTGTTTTATATCTCTGTTTGTATGCACTCCATATTGTGATTTTGAGGAAACACTAAGCATTACATGTAGAACGAGACGAGATGTTTTAAGCCTTGTTTGAAAATGGTACATAGAGATGTTTTGTATTGTGAGCAGCCTGAAAATGGATGTTGTTTCTGTGGCATGCGTCGCTTTTCTGATCAAAACATTTATTTTATTTTTTCTATTTATTTCAGTGATGTGATGCATGGCTTGTTTGAGGAAAGTGCAATAAAATAAAAAGTGTTATCCTGAAGAAAAATCAGTGGATGTGCTTGTGTCTTGTGCTTTGGTTTGGCCTGCAGATGGCACTGTGGACCAGTTACTTTTCAGTGAATACAATGATCACAGTTGAAAGGGAAAACACTTTTTAGTTGGTCAAGTTGGTCAAAAATGGAGGAAAAACATTTGATTTGATCAAATCAACACAGAATATGGAATAATATAAAGGAGAAAAAGCATCTTCATCATCTTTATTGGGGTTTATGTATCCCCTGTAGGGGAAATTATAAACGAACAAAACTTTGACTAAGACATAATGTATTTTGGAATATTACCTTAATAACTAATTAATGAAATACATGTATAATATACAATCTTTATGACACCTACATAAGCTATAGCCCTGGAGTGCATGGGGTTTTGCTATACAAAATGGGGCCCCTGGGCATCTTTAACTGGACCTTTTTATGGGTCCTCTGCAGCTGTGGGCCCATATATACACACACACAGTATATATACCTGTTATTCCACCTTGTACAACACTGGATGTCCGTTTATTTGAAAAAGACATCCTATCAATGCCATCTCTGTTTTTATTAAGTAAAGGAGAAAGTATGAATTCTGTTGAAATGCCACATTTAAGCGAGTTGTTTATGAAATTAAAACACTTTAAATCTAGATAACTATTCCGCCTACACTGCAGACACACACTTGATGCTATATTCTCTCCCAACAGCTGACTACTATGAACAAAAAAAAAAAAAAAAAAAAAGCCTTCAGATTTGGGAGTGTCTACTGGTGTCCACTAGCAGTATGTGTGTGTGTGTGTGTGTGTGTGTGTGTGTTGTGTGTGTGTGTGTGTGTGTGTGTGTGCTGATCCCTCCCTCTCCTTCCTCTCCTCTCCCTGCCTGGCTCCAGCTGCTGTGTGCTGCAGTCGGCCTACCCTGTCTGCCTCTGAGCCTGCTGGGAGTTGTAGGGAGGGAGAAGCCGTCGAGGGGGAGAAGAGCGAGCAGAGAGGGGAGGTGTGTGTGTGTGAGTGTGTGTGTGTGTGACTGAGTGTGTGTGCGGGTCCCAAAACTGGAAACCACTACCATAAAAAAAAAAAAAAAAGAAAAGAAACACACACAGTCTCTCACGGTGCAGGCGGACGGGTTGTTGCCAGTACTTTACGGAGAGCCGCGAGGAGACCCTGAAAGTTGCATGATTGTTTTTTTTTTTTCTCTCTCCTTCTTCTTCTGTGGTGGCAGCAGCGCTGTTGCGCCGCGCGGACTGCTCGAGTGGATTCATTGGTTGGAGCAGGATTGCGCATAGGCTCTGCCGTATATCCACCGCTTATCCAGAGGGAAGAGGAACCATGAACAACTAAAACGCGTTCCTCCTTGCTTCAAGTCGAGCGTGTTGCAGAGTTAAAACCTTTTTTTTTTTTTTTTTTTTTTAAAAGTGTAAATTTGTTTTTCTTATCTCGCGCTCCTTCCTCACTCTCTCGCGGTCGTTTTTCTCGCCCTGTATGGGATGCGTCGGCTGCTTTAGGATCCCGCTTGTTGACAAACTGTTTTTTTTTTTTGGTTTTGTTTTAAACAAGAAGTTTACAACAAGCCGCGGACGCGAGAAGAGAGAAAATGTCCACGCCGAGGTTCAAAAAGGATAAAGAAATCATCGCGGACTACGAGAGTCAAGTGAAAGGTAAGAGAAAGGGGGGAATGTTTCCGTCGGAAATGTGCTTGTTGGAGCCGCTGGGAGACTAATTGAGAGCAGGCTAACGTTAGTTCACATCACTACCTGCGTATGAGTCACAGTAGCTACGGATGTGTGTGTGTTAAATTAAAAACAAACCCCCAAAAAGTTGGTGAAATATGGCCTGCTGTTGGGGTTTACTGCAGGGCAAACAAGGACGTGTTGAAATCAGAAAATCAAACTTGGATTTATGTTAAATCACTTAGAGGCCTAGTGCAATTTAATGGTATTTATGTCAGCATTGTCGGAGATGAACTTAATTAGCAAAATAAAAAAAAAAGATTTGCAACTGAGTTCTGGAGGGGCCCTTAAGTCTTTTGTTTTGTAGTTTTTGCATGTGAAAGCCAAATGAGAGTGCTCAGCAGATTCACCACTGGCCACAGAAAAGAGACCCCCACCTTTTTATATATTTTAAAGGAATCAGTTCAGGTTGTTTATATCAACCTTAATCTGCTGTAACTCATTTAACTGTTTACTTCTCAGTCTGTTGCATTTCATTATGTTGACGTCTTCAACAACCTGTTACTATCAGGGCGAGTGACTGAGCTTTTCTCACCATGCAGAGTTATTATGAGACTTAGTAGTTACCACATTGTTCCCACAGCATTACAGCATGATATGACAACTGAAGACAGGAGGAGCACAAGTCCAGGCAACACACCTGTATTACAGGTCACTGTAATGCTCAGGGGCACTACAGAAGAGCTGGTGACTTGTACTTGTGTCATTTTTGTACTATTCTGTACCCTCTCTGTTTCCCTGCTTAATGTCACAAGCCCACACACTCACTTTAAAGCACAAAACTGTTTTTTGCCCTGATTTAGGTCAGTGATTTAGAGGTTTGCAAGACACCAAAATGATGCCACCCTAACTTATCTTGTCTCCTATGTCTCCTTCAAGCCCCCCCTTGCATGCAGAGCAGAGGTAGTTTATTCCCAGACAGACCAGCACAGGAAAGAGGCAGTTGCTGCTTCAGGGTAACCATGGGGATTTGGCCCCAAGCCAAACAGCGCTGTTCTTCAGTGCCCTTAGCGTGCTAAAATACCACCTATTCACGTCCTCAGAAAGGGGGGAGGTTAGCAAGGGTCAGGGGTTTGGTGGTGGGGGGGCGGGGGTAGAGAAAGGACCAGTGCTGCTTGAGGAATTACAACATTGCATGAGGTTGGGCACAAGCTTTTATTTGCAAGGAATGCTCAGAACCCTTTCTTGTCCCTAGGAGGATGACTAAGCATATTATAGAGGATGATGCACTGTCATTGGGGATGCTGAACAAGAGATGACGAAGCCTTGGAGTTGTCATGCAGAACCCGGTGGGGCAATAACAACAACCTGATGCTGCTGAGAGTAGCTGTTGCTAGACAGGACCACCGGTGCCTCGATAAATCGACGTTATGGTGCATTGTTTTGTTGAAGAAGCAGAATTCAATTCTGAGGGTAATGCAGCGGGGCTTGTCGTGCATTGTAAATATTCCTGTCAGGATATAAAATATCCTACATGTCAAAGGTAGTGCCTAGCTATTTACATAAAGTACTGTGCCTCTTATTTTTGCATTGCAAATAGCCTGCAGGTATTCAGCTTGAGAGACTATATCTTATTATCATTCAGATGTATTTGAACAAATAGGATGCCACTTTCTGTTGGTATACAAACTCCACGCACTGTAATTTACCATTATGACATGAGAGGCATTATGCAACATATTTTCACGCCCAGCATATCCAGACGTACTGTACCATCTCTACAAAAGCTATACGTTTTCAGGCATAACAATGAGAGCCTTTAGTAGGTCAGATGACTCCTGCAAATGCAGCCCTCTGTTTGTTTTGGAATTATAGCTGCCAGGCTAGTTAGGATGTAGTTAGTAGTGGAAGAAAATGTATGCAGTCAACATTAAGTATTCTGTTTTAGAGCAGCTCCTGATTTTGCAACTGTAAAGCATTTTATGAGTTAAGAGTTTGCAGTGATAATGAGTGGGATCACATCTGCAGTGTAGCTGTGATAGCCAGAGGCAGTTTCTGGTGAACAGACATTGATTACTCAAGAAGTAGAACAACAAGCAGCTCAGAAAACAGCCGGAGCCGATGTTTGATCTTTTGGTCTGCATCCTCTCTCACACAGTTAAAATATTGTTTTAATTCTCACAATATTTCAACAGATATCTGGCGGCCAGTTTTGCCTCATCTTACGTAACCACATTGATCCGCAGCCTGAAGTCCTCTGTCCCGATTTTGACAAATCACGTGCGCTGTGGTTGTCAGTCGTCATCTAGTTATCAAGCAGTCATGCAAAATTACCCCGACAGTTCCCTTTGTTTTCTGAGAATCGATTTTATATCCGGAAATTTTCAATATTTTTCAACAGTGTGCTGAGTGGCATTGTTATTCAAGTCAGTAGATGTGAGGTATTTAATGTAGTTTTCTATGGTGACTGTCTGTCTGAAAGCCTCCCTACGATGGCTGACACGACTGTTCTCAGGCCCGACTTGTCATTCAGCTGACATTCACTTCTTAAGTACCCTCGAACAGCCTTTTTTTAGCCTCCCACAGATGAAATGAAAATGAATGTCATTCAAGGAAATTAGCTTTTTATTATTAAAGCTCTGTAGCACAGGGATTTAAGTTTTGCTAATTTCTAAAATCGGCATCTACATCACGACTAAGCCTGTTTTGGAAAAACAAAAACATTAAGAAGATTGGGTTGAGACAGTGGAATTTGTTTGCGCTTTATAGTGCACATCAGTTGCAGTCGATTTAAGTCGTTTTAAGCAGGCTAAGGAAAGGCTGTGGGTACATTGGCATTCTCTGTGGGTCTGTTTCTGTGGATCAGTGCATAGCAACAATGACTGTGTGTCAGACTGTGTGGCTTGCTGCTTGTAGCCTGGGGGCCGTGACTTCGATGGCAGGACCCCTTGAGCCTCTGTCAGGGGTCCTCTCCCAGATCATTATAAAAGCTGCCCCCTTTGACCTGCCTTCACTGCTGTTTGAAATCAGAGCCCTGCCCCTCTGCATACTCAAAGAGAGAGGTCTGCCCATGTTTGTATGCAGGGGGATTAAAGGCAGGAAACTCCTCTGAGGTGGTATGGTCTTGATTATCTTTCAAATTAATAGGATTTGTCTTGTGGTTAAAAGTCATTAAAGTTTATTTACATTAGTAATAGTGGGAGTTGATCTTGTCCAATTGCATGGCTGTGGAGGATGAGCATGTATGTGCTGTTCATTAATCCAGATGTCACACATATGTGGCATCTGGATCATGCAATGTCAAAACTGTAATTTTGCTTGAAATGGGGTTTCATGGTTTTTAGTGAAATAAATCTAGTGTGTCACCAGACTGCAGCGTGTGATGATGTGGAGAGTTCTCTTTATTTAGAAAGGTTCTTCAGACTCATCTTGCCGGGGGAAAAAACTATACTAGATTATAAAACACTGGGAATGCTTTAGAGTACTTAAGCAAATCGTCTCTTCAGGTTGTTGAACACAAACAGTCACTTGTAGAGTGCTTTCGCAGAAAGTGGAATCCAAAATATGTCCTTGATTCTTTTAGTCATGGCAACATTACAGTCAGTATTTTGTAAATACAAACAGAATACAACAACCAGTAACCATTTCACATCAGATGTATTTATTCTACTGACTATTGTTAAATGAACCCATTGATAATATCATATTAATTATCAATAACATAAAAATACAAATGCCCATCACATCACAAGTACCCTCATTCCAATATTGGTGTCCTCAAATTTCTTGTTAAGGTATTACATTTCAAATAGTTTCAAATAAATCAGCATATTTGAGATGCTGGGAGTAGTTTTTTTTAACTTGATGAGTAACTTGTTGTAAATTACTATTTCCATTGACTAAAAGATTGATGAACTAATGGTTGATTGTAATAGATGATGCTTTACAATATTATTCGCTTAGGGGACAATACCATCTTTATGAATAGATACCCTTGGAGATTAGAATGATTATTAAAATTTGAACAGCTGTCAGTCTCCTATGTCCTTGTGTCACCTTTGCCCTCTTGATTAGTAAATATTGTCGATTGTGAGTTTGCGAGCGTGAGTGGATCTGAAGCCAGCTGTCACTATAACCTGACCTCTTACGACGGTCAAATTGTTTCCCATTAACACCATGCCGGAGCTACGTGATGAAGTGCCTCTTCCTGCATATAAAGTCATCCAAAAATCTGTTGGAGAAAATAGGATACCTGAGGATTAATGGCAACTTTAACATAACTTTCCCTCGCCGTTTTCTTCACTGCAACAAACTATTTTAGACTTCCCACAGCAGTTAAGTTATAGCAGCTAATACTCCACAGGGGATACTGGTCGATCTGTGGTGCTTCATCTTAACAGCTTCTCAGAGGTGACGGAGGTTTGAGGTTGAAAGACTAACGGAATCGCCCCCTGGAGCACAACATCACACATCTATCCACACACTTACCATCTGTTTACCCCCCCCACCCCTTCTATAACTGTGTGTGTCTGTTGTGTGTCTCCACCCAGTGGTATGGCACTGGGTGTGGCATTGGCGTGTGTTTGTGCACGAGTGTGCGTTTGCATGGTTGGGTGAATGGTTATTGACAGCACCATCTGTGGCAACTCACCCATTTTGCAGTTTTAATAAACTCTGCTGACCACAAGCAAGGCTTCACTTTCCCTGCTGTGCTTTTCATTGTAGTCATAAAGGCCACCCAGACATTAGTGCAGCGCCCCCGACCCCTTAACCCCCTTAAACAAAAACCAAACCAACCCCTATCCGCTGCCCGCATCCCTAAACCAAACAAAAAAGTTGTAATTCAAGTGGCACTGTTGCAAATGAAGACAGAAGAAGAAGCCTGGTGTTGTAACTAACAAGGATAAAGTCAACCCCCCCCCCCTCCTCCAATTGGTGGTGTTGGTGCATAGAGAAGAATCCCTGTGTGGGACTGGAGTGCCTGGTAA